GAACCCAATCAGGATGAGGCGGGTTGTAAGTGGGCTTCCGCCCAGCACGTCCGTGTGGCAGTCCAGAGCACAGGTTCCAAGGGAAAGCCAAAATTGGGTAATTTAACCAGCGGGTTCGCGTGCCAGACGCAATCGAAGCCTTCGATGCGTCCAGCAACACTAGAAGGTTCTCCGTTGTTATCAAAGGCCGCTAACTATGTATGCCAAACGAATGCCAGACCCATGGGACCAGAGACCGTATTGACGGCTGCTGCCCTTAACGCGTCTTGGGTGTCCAGTACCCCTCGGTACACAACCTACCCGGTGATGACTACCAGAACCGGTGGTTTGTGAGTGTTGTTCATCCTCTTCCCGGTTAAGTTGGATTCGGTGTTTTCTTGTCCATTGCCCCAGTGGTTCACTGACCTGATTCTAGCGCCGTTTGGTTTATTGTCGTCCTCATTTCAGCGAAGGTAGTAAGTGGAGCTTCCCAAACAGGAGCAGTTTGAAGAGCGTCGTAAAGAGGTGTTTCGTGAGATGCAAGAGAATCGTTGCCAGTCAATCCCGGGCACCCATTCCTCACCATACTGAAGCTTTCGGAGCTAGGAGTAGGGTTTCGAATTTACATATCCCCGGGCGGGCACGTTCAGTTATCGTAAGTTTTTATGTTGTTGGTTTGCGGCCAGTCATAGCAAATGTGGATTTAATGGCTATTGCGGATACTTTTTGATTTGATTTGAATTAAATTCCCCTCTGAGATTCTCGGTCTTGTATGTCTGAGCTCCTTGGTAAGCCTTTTTTTTAAAAAAATACTCAGTTGCAAGCATAACACCAAGCGCTCTAACGTTTCATGCGTGAAGCAGGAAAATAAAGTAGACGTTTGCCCTCCACGGTAATCTTGTATGCACGACATAGCTCGTGGACGTAGTTTGTTTGCGATTCGTTGCATGTTCTGCCTACTGCAGTCTAGTGTTGAGTTACCGTTTCGGTGGCATCAAGTGAGGTTTGTGTTGTGGGCACGGTCCCAACGTGGTTGTGAATCTGTCGCCTAAGTGACCATAATTGCGCCAACAAAGTGTAGATCATACAGTGGGCGCACTGCTCCCATGGAACAGTCTTTGACTTAGAATACGCCAATGACATCGCCTTGCTGGGTGATAGCACACATGCAGTCCAACATGCTTTAAACCGCTTGGCGATCGAGGTATCCAGGTATGGTATGTGCTTTACACCATCCAACTGCCAAGTGCTGGTTCAAGATTGGCAGGAGCCTGTGCCTGCACTCACCCTCTGTGGTGATCAGGTGGAAGTGGTTGAGAGCTTTAAGTACCTCGTGAGCTGGAGGTAGTGTTGGGGAAGAGATCACATCACGAATAATGAAAGCTAAAACAGCTTTCACCAACCTGCGACACCTGTGGAGCCACCATGACATCCGTTTGTTCCTTAGGGGAAGGATGTATATCGTCGCAGTTCGTAGTGTTCCGCTTTACGATTGTGAGACCTGGCCTCTCCGAGCAAAAGATTCTAATCGACTTTTTGTATTCGACCACCGATGCCTCCGAAGCATTGCTGGTGTCTAGTGGGAACATCTGGTGAGCAATGATGAGGTTCGGGGTGTAGATAGTAGCTCTCTAACAGAAGTAATCGCTGTTTTTTTATTGCACACTTTCGTGTGATGAACAGCAGACGGGATAAACCTCATAGTCACGAGGACCTGCTGTTCAGTGATTGAGACCGGTAACCTAAGCTTCGGGACAGAGTGATGAACCACATAAAGCCCCAATAGGTTAGGCGTCGTATTTAACCGGACGACAGCAAAGCTGCCCACCGATAGCTTGGCTACGTTTTGCGTATGCCTGTCCATTGGCTACCTTTCCGTGCTGTTTTTACAGGTGCTGTGCAAGGCTGGAGGAAGCGCCGTGGCATGGTTGGTGTAGCCCACCTTCCGGGCTGGGGCCTAAGAAATGAGAATTGACGTTAGTTAGAGAGGCTGACGGATACGGTTCAGAATAGGATTTAGTGGAGCGAATGGTGTACGGTCTGCCCGTGCCGCATAAAAACAGTAAACAACACAAAATACAAAACAATCGACGGCGAAACAAACATTCTACATTATTTATGGGAGTATTTTACGATTTGATACACTGCAAATACCCTGTCGTTATGTGACTTGAACTAGTTGTTGAAGTTCAAAGCCAGGTCTGCTGAAACGGAGATTCATCAGGGAGTTAGTAGAGAATGTATCGATCAGAACAGTTATCCAAAAACCTGCGACGTTGTCACATTCAACCGACATCCAGAACACTGAAACGACATGCACTGAACCTGATGGATGCTGCTCGGAACGTGATCGAAATGGACCGCTTGTCGATCCAGTACTCTTTATCCGCCAACCAACTCACTAGGGGAATACAAGTCTCTCTTCCAGCAGTACGTAATGGATATAGCCATCAAAGCTACTGAACGAAAATACGCCTAACTCGTAAACAGCCTCCAGACCAGCAGTCCCCAGTCGAAGTTCCCGAATGACCCGGAAAGATACGTACACAACTATTCGTCTGTTCAACTCGATAAACTACAGTTTGAGGTTTTGTCCGTTGGTCCTAAATTTTGTGCCTTTGAACTGAAATTTCACCAGATAGAGCTAGAGACACAGTTTGAAAGCTTCACGCATCAACTCAGCGATTTAACACCTATCCATGCTCATCTAGTTGATCAACTCAAAACATCTCTAGTACACCAGTGCCACCAGTATCAGAACACCTAAGTACGGACAAGAACTATTTTGACAAAGAAACATATCGACGCCATGAAACGTCTCACTTCGAACAAGGATATCATAATGTCTCGACCGGATAAAGGGCCCGGTTGGGTGTTATTCGATAAAACTGATTACCACTCTAAACTAGAGAATATCCTCAGCGACTCCCCAAAATTTTCCGCTAGACCACATGAGAAAGACATGACAGAGAAAACGGCATCTATGTTTACGTCCATCTTGAAAGAACTAAAGATAGGTCACATATCACAAACGGTTTTCCAAAAG